CCAGTAGCTGAGACTACAGGCAAGCACCTGACTACAGGCATGCACCACGTCTGGCTAATTTTGTGTATTTTTAGTAGACACAGGGTTTTGCCATGTTGCCCAGGCTGTAGTCTTTTCATTTTGTTGGTTATTTCCTTTGCTACTCAGAAGCTCTCTGGTTTGATGTAATCCTACTTGTTTATTCCTGCATTTGTAGCTTGTGCTTTTGGTGTCTTTTCCAAAAATTCATTGCTAAGATGAATCAAGGAACTTTTCCCGTATGCCTTTTTCTAGAAGTTTTATTTTTGTCACACCTTACATTGAAGTCTTTAATCCATTTTGAGTTGATTTTTTGTGTATGGCATTACATAATGGCCCAGTTTTATTATTTTGCATGTGGATATCTTGTTTTCCCAATACTCTTTATTGAAGAGGTTGTCTTTTCTTCATTTTGTATTCTGGGCACCCTTGTCAAACATTAGTTGACTGTATATGTGTGGGTTTATTTTTAGGCTCTCAATTCTGTACCATTGGTCTATGTGTCTGTTTTTATGCCAATACCATGCTGTTTTTATTACTTTAGCTTTCTACTATAATTTGAAATCACTAAGTGTAATGTCTTCAGCTTTGTTCATTTTGTTCAAGACTGCTTTGGCTATTTGGGGTCTTTTGTGGTTCCACATGAATTTTAGGAGTTTTTTCTCTGTTTCTGCAAAAAATAACATTGGAATTCTGATAGAGATTGCATTGAATGTATAGATCTCTTTAGGGGGTATGGCTATTTTGACAATGAACATGGCATATCTTTTCATTTTTCTGGGTCTTTTAAATTTTTCTTTTATTGATGTTTTGTAGTTTTCAGTGTACAGATTCCTCACTTCCTTGATTAATTTATTCCTAAGTATTTTATCCTATTTCTTTTATTTTTCCTTTCCTTTCCTTTCCTTTCCTTTCCTTTCCTTTCCTTTCCTTTTCCTTTTCCTTTTTCTTTTCCTTTTCCTTTCTTTCTTTTTGCTGGAGTCTCACTCTGTTACCCAGGCTGGAGTGCAGTGGGGCGATCTCTGCTCACCACAACCTTTGCCTCCCAGGTTCAAGAGATTCTCTTGCCTCAGCCTCCCAAGTAGCTGGGACTACAGGCATGCACCACCATGCCCGGCTAATTTTTGTATTTTTAGTAGAGATGATATTTCGCTATGTTGTCCAGGCTGGTCTCTAACTCCTGACCTCATGATCTGCCCTCCTTGGCCTCCCAAAGTGCTGGGATTACAGGTGTGAGCCACAGCGCCTGGCCTATACTTTTTTCCCCCTTATTGTAATCTTTGCTTTCTGAATTTTTTTAAAAAAATTTCTCCAATCTAGGGTAAATATAGAAAATTGGTTTGGATCTTTCTAATACTGGGGGACCAGCAGGGGCTCTCTTTGGTCCACTCAACCTTTGAACCTTTGATAGTGTATTAAGGCCTTTATTTTACATAATAAATTTCCATTTATCTCATTCCATTTCCTAATAATAATCTAATGATTTCCACCCTGCTGGGATGGGTCCCATGATCTGCCCCTTCTTTTTTTCTCTGAGTTTTACCCCTATCAACTTTTTTTTTTTTTCTTAAGTTCTCGGATACATGTACTGAACATGCAGGTTTGTTACATAGACATACATGTGCCATGGTGGTTTGCTGCACCCATCAACCCGTCATCTAGGTTTTAAGCCCTGCATGCATTAGGTATTTGTCCTAATGTTCTCCCTCCCCTTGCCCCCCACCACCCGACAGGACCTGGTGTGTGATGTTTCCCTCCCTGTGTCCTTGTCTTCTCATTGTTCAACTCCCACTTATGAGTGAGAACATGTGGTGTTTGGTTTTCTGTTTGTTTTCTTAGTTTATTTTTTCAGATAGTTTGTTGTTAGTTTATAGAAATGTAATTGATTTGTGTATTGATTTTGTTGATCAATACAAATAAAGCTCATCCTACAGCTTTATTAAATTTATTAGTTTTGACAGTTTTAGTTTTTTTTTTTGATGAAGTCTTTAGGATTTTCTAAATATAAGACCATATCACTACAAGCAGAGAAAATTTTCCTTCTTTCTAATTTTTATGCTCTCTCTGTCTTCTTTCTTTCTTTGCCTAATTGCTCTGGCTAGGACTTCCAATACTGTATTCAATAGAAGTGGTGAGTGTGGGAATCCTTGTTTGTTCCTATTCTTAGAGAAAAAACTTTCTGCTTTTCACCATTGAGTGTAATATTAGCTATGGGTTCAGCATATATGTTCTTCATTATGTTGAAGTGCATTCTTTTTATACCTAATTTGTTGAGTTTTTTTTTTCTTCTTAATATTGGAAAGATATTGCATTTTGTCAAATGCCAAAGCTGGTGTAACTTGTTTTAATAAGGTAATATAGCCATCAGAGGCTATAAAAATGGGCTCAAAGAGTCTGTGACAAAAGATGTGACTATTTAAACATCATAAAGGATAATAAACACAGTGGATTGAGACATACCAAATATGTTTACATCCATAAATTTATATTTATACTTAGAAATCATTGGATATCTTTGGAGGGTATAAGAAATCTTATTCATTAGTTTGAAAAGAGGTAAGCAAAGAGAAATATTTAAGCATGTGTTCCCTCTTTCCTATATGAACTCCTCTTCAGAGTAAGAAAGTTGTTGATAAAAGGCCTTTTCTTTTTATAGAAGTATTCCAGGTAATGAATCAAGAAAAAGTTGTATCATTAGACCACTATAATTTTGCAACCACTAATAAATTAATAGAAGTAGGCAATGATCATCAATGGCTGCTAATATCACAAAAAAAGAGACTAGCAGATATGTGCATTCTGGAGATATACACAAATCCACCTGTGAGTTATTCCTGACCAAAAAATTCCATATTGTGAGAAATTCTGTAGCACCATAAGACTTCATTTATGAGAAAACTGGACATTTGAATACTGGCTGGCTATTAATTTTTAGATTGTTAAAAAGTATTATGGTTGTACTAAAAATATTCATCATTTCTATTAATAGGTGCACCTTAAATATTTATGACTGAGGTGGGATGATGTCTAAATTTGTGTCAAAATAATTGAGTAGGGAGGGTAAGATGCAAAAAATGTTGTCTTTTAGTTGATTGTTGTTTAAGCTGGTTGATGGGTACATGGGGGTTAATTATACAAGTCTTTCTACTTTTGTGTATGTTTGAAATTTCCTGTAATAAAAAGTTAAAAAAATTAATCTTATACAAATCTTCTATGACATATTTTCAAAATAAATAACACAATTTGCAAAAAACCCATATGATATGATTATTTTTCACTAAAAGTATTACCTCCAAATCTCTATGTATGACCATAAAGAATATGTAAACATAGCAGCATAAAAGGATATATCAAAGGAGGTCAACATCAGTTAACTCAGCGGGGTGAGATGGTGGTAGATGGATGGGGTGAGGTGGAGAGTATACACAAAGTTATTTCTGCACCTCTACCTTTTTATATCACACTATTTTAATTGTAACAATTGTATAATACTGTTATCTTTGGAGAAAGATCAAATAAAGAAATGTTTTATGAATAAAAAGTATATATGTATAATACATGTAGTTGTTTTTATTTTTTAATTACAAATTTATGTTATTTGTTGAAAGATTTATTGCATTTTTTGAATTAAAAAATTTCTCAATTTCTTTTGAATGTGGTTCCCAGAACAACTAAACATAAGGAAACTAAATTGTCAGAGTGAACTTAAAAGAAAGACACAACCAGATATATATAACGAAGCTACACCACAGAAGAAGACAACAAAGAAAAATCAAACAAAAAGTTCCAAGTAACTGTCAACAATATATTTAGCAATATGCACTCAGTGTCACTAATTCTGAAATTTCTCCTCTTTGAAAAGTTACTTTAATGAATATAAAAGAGGCCATTTTCTCTTGTTGATCCACTCAGTTGATGAAACTCTGATTAGGAAATTTTCTCTTTTCCTTTTTTTTAAATCACCATGCAGCCTAAAAAATGATGAGAGAGCAACATGACCTGAAGGCTGGGGATGTCCCATCACCCTGAAATTATTTCTGTTTCATTTTTGTTTCAAAAAAGCCCTTCTCCTTACAAAAGAATAGAAGGAGCTAAATTTCTGTCTTAGCACTAAATGCATCTCAGTGCTGTGGAAACATTTCATTTTCTAGTGATTGCAAGGTCTGTATATCCCCTGCTGTTTGTAGTCTTTATTTAAAAATAAAATTAAGGAAGGAAAAAAGGACAGAAGAAAGGAAAGAAAGGAAGAAACCCTACATGACAAGAACATTAAACTGCAAGGGTGGTTCATTTCAATTTCGAAGCCTTTCTTCACTACTGCAGGGATACCACTTTGGATTCGTGTCAACGTCTTAATAGGGGAAGTAAAGCAGTTTATACGCCTCAGAGCATGGGTGCTCAAACCAGAGAATCAGCGTGAAGGGGAGAAGGCCAGTCCTGCCTTGGACGGGTGGAAGCCACATAGTCATGGCCTCTTCTGGTAAGGACCAGATGGCACAATTTGCAGAGGGCAGGTTTAATGTTGTCACCATTAAGACTGGAAGGAAAATGTCTTTGAAGAAACATTTGTTTTACACCCTCTGCTCCCAATCTTGAATTCATCTCATACATATGTTGGAAATAATTCTACCCAAACTCAATTAAATTCTATTTTTATATTGTTTGAATAACCTTACACTCTAAATTGAAAAGACGTTTCTGTAACCTAGAGTGATTTTACTGTAATGAGCACTGCTATATCAAGGCATAATATTTTAATTTTGACTATCATGAATTACTTCTATATATAAATAAATTATACGTGACATATCAACAACTTTGTCCTGTTGCATTTTGATAAACATAAAAGCAAATGGAAAATTGAGAGCCACTAGTTTGTTGGAGTTTTAAAATATTCTGTAAGTAATTTACAGATATAAAAATATTAATATTTATATCATTAATTATTTTCATTACCCCATTTTTTTCTTTATAATTTTTAGGCTTAGAGATTCTTCATCATAACTTGCCAAAATGAAAAAGAACTGTGAAAAGAAAATGGACACTTCTTCAGGTATTATAAAGTATATATTTCCTATAAAGCTTTTTGTCTTTGTTGTTTTTTTAAATTGCTAAATCTGCTTGACTGAAAGGTTCAGAAGGTTAGGGATAGCTTACTTAGGCTAATCCCTCGTGGGTCTTATCTACAGGACTCACTAATTAATGACAGTCTCTTAAACGATAGCCACCTACATATCCTTGGACAGATGATCTTCAATAGTCAAGTTCTGATACAATTTTAAAATCTATTTTATATATTAATGAAAGTTTACAAAAATCTATTAGCCAGAATTCTTTCATTTGCAAGTGACAGAAACAAGATCAAATGTACATGGCCAGGTGCAGTGGCTTGCACCTGTAATCCTAGCACTTTGTGAGGCTGAGACGGGTGGATCACCTGAGGTCAGGAGATTAGGACAAGCCTGGCCAATATGATGAAACCCCGCCTCTACTAAAAATACAAAAAATTAGCTGGGTGAGGTGGTGTGCACTTGTAATCCCAGTTACTCAGGAGGCTGAGGCAGTAGAATTGCTTGAACCTGGGAGGCGAAGGTTGTAGTGAACCGAGATCATGGCACTTTCAGCCTGGGCAACAAGAGCAAAACTTCATCTCAAAAAAAAAAAAAAAATCAAGCACATTTAAGAGAAAGGAGAGACCAGTCACAAATTGAGGGAAAATATTGGCAACACATATCTGATAAAGAACTTGTATTCATGCTGGACATGGTGGCTCACGCCTGTAATCTCAGCACTTTGGGAGGCTGAGGCGGGCAGATCACAAGATCAGGAGTTTGAGACCAGCCTGGCCAACATAGTGAAACCCCATCTATACAAAAAGAAAAAAAAAATTAGCCATTGTGGTGGTGGATGCCTGTAGTCCCAGCTACTTGGGAGGCTGAGGCAGGAGAATTGCTTGAACTCAGGAGGCAGAGGTTGCAGTGAGCCAAGACTATGCCACTGCACTCCAGCCTGGGTGACAGAGTGAGACTCTGTCTCAAAAATAACTTATATTCAAAATATACGAAGAACTATTAAAACTCATCAATAAGAAAATAAAAAAATTAAATAAGAAATTGGCATAAGATTTGAACAGGCACCTTACAAAAGAGGGCACGGCAAATAAACATAAAAAAGATGCTGAAGATCATATATCATCAGGGAAATGCAAGTTAAGACAAGAATGAGGTACCATTATACATACCTATTAGAATGGCTAAAATCCAAAGCATTGACAACAACAAAGGCTGATGAGGATATGGAACAATAGAAACTCTCATTCATTACTTGTTCAACCATTTGCAAGACAGTTTGCCAGTTTTTAAAGTTTTAAATTTAAATTTAAATTTAATTTAATTTAATTAATTTATTTATTTTGCAAGAGAGTCTCACTCTGTCACCACCAGGCTGGAGTGCAGTGGCATGGTCTCAGCTCACTGCAATCTCCACCTCCCGGGTTCAAGCAGTTCTCTTGCCTCAGCCTCCCAAGTAGCTGGGACTACAGGTGTGCACCACTATGCCCAGCCAATTTTTGTATATTTAGTAGAGACAGGGTTTCACCATGTTGGCCAGAATGGTCTCCATCTCTTGACCTCGTGATCCTCTTGCCTTGGCCTCCCAAAGTGCTGGGATTACAGGCATGAGCCACCATGTGTTGCAGGAAGTCAGGGACTCTGAATGGAGGGACTGGCTGGAGCCGTGGCAGCGGAACATAAATTGTGAAGATTTTACGGACATTTGTCAGTTCCCAAATAATACTCTTATAATTTCTTACGCCTATCTTACTTTAATCTCTTAATCCTGTTATCTTCGTAAGCTGAGGATGTACATCACCTAATGACCACTATTGTGTTAACTGTACAAATTGATTGTGAAACATGTGTGTTTGAACAATATGAAATCAGTGCACCTTGAAAAAGAACAGAGTAACAGTGATTTTCAGGGAACAAGGTAACCACAAGGTCTGACTGCTTGTGGGGTCGGGCAAAATAGAGCCATATTTTTCTTCTTGCAGAGAACCTTCAAATGGACATGAAAGTAGGGAAGATATAGCTAAATTCTTTTCCTAGCAAGGAATATTAATAATTAATACCCTGGGGAAGGAATGTATTCCTGAGGGGAGGTCTATAAACGGCTGCTCTGGGAGTATCTGTCTTAGGCTGTTGAGATAAGAACTGAAATACGCCCTGGTCTCCTGCAGTAGCCTCAGGCTTATTAGGGTGGGGAAAAAAAAACCCACCCTGGTAAATTTGAGGTCAGACCGGTTCTCTGCTCTCGAACCCTGTTTTCTGTTGTTTAAGATGTTTATCAAGACAATACATGCACTGCTGAACATAGATCCTTATCAGTAATTCTTTTGCCCTTTACCTTGTGATCTTTGCTTTTACCCCTTGCCTTGTGATCTTTGGTCTCCTTTTTGCCCTTTGAAACGTGTGATCTTTGTGACCTACTCCCTGTTCTTACACCCCCTCCCCTTTTGAAATCCTATATAAAAACTTGCTGGTTTTGCAGCTCAGGTGGGCATTACGGTCCTACCGATATGTGATGTCACCCGCCCAGCTGTAAAATTCCTCTCTTTGTACTCTTTCTGTTTATTTCTCAGCTGACCAACACTTATGGAAAATAGAGAGAACCTACGTTGAAATATTGGGGGAGAGTTCTCCCAATAACCGTGCCCACCCCCTTTATTTTTATTTACTTTTTACTAAGTTTAACTTTGTCTTACCACATGATCTAGCAATCACACTTTTAGGTATTTCCCCAAATGAGTTGAAAACTTACATCCACATAAAAACCTGCACATAGATGTTTATAGCAGCTTTATTAATAGTTGCCCCAAACTGGAAGCAACCAAAATCTCTCTTAGTAGATGAATGTATAGATAAACTATGGTACACCTATACAGGTGAGTATTATTTGCAATAAAAATCAATTGGCTTCCAAGCCATGAAAAGACATAGTGAAATCTTAAATACATATTGCAAGTGAAAGAAGGCATTATGAAAAAGGAAAAACTGTAGAGCAAGTAAAAAGATCAGTGACTGCCAGAGTTAGTGTGGAGGGAGAGGGATGAATAGGTGAGGCACAGAGGAGGTTCAGGTTGGCAACATTTTTGTGTATGGTGTATACATGACATTATGCATTTGTCAAAAGCCATAGAACTTAAACAATACAATAGTAAAAAATGTAAATTATGGACTTTAGGTCAGAATAACATACCTACATTGGTTCATCGTTTGTAACAAACATACCACATTAATGCAATGTGTTAATAACAGGAGACTGTGTAAGGGAAAGTGGAATATGGGAACTCTATACTATCTGTTCAATTTTTCTATAAACCTAAAACTGTTTTTAAAAATAGTCTATTAATATAAAAAATTTAAAAATAAAGAAAATGAGTGAAAGAAAGAAAAAAAGAGAAAGAAAGAAAGAAAGAAAGAAAGAAAGAAAGAAAGAAAGAAAGAAAGAAAGAAAGAAAGAAAGAAAATCTTCTCTACCCACCTTACCTCCTAGATTTAGTGTTACTACGAACTGAGGTCATATCCACAAAGTATGTTGCGAAAGAAAAAGTGCTGCTTTACATAGTCTGGAAGTGTTATTTAAGTAGCCGAATTGCTAAAAATAGAATCAAAATCAATGTGGGTATTTTAACACCAAAACAACACTTGGCAGATGCTGAGAAGTATCTCACAGAACAACACCCATAAAAACATGATAAGGAGGAGAATGCAATACTGGAATAAGAATCAATAAATTTATAATAAACTGTGAAGTATATGACCTGTAGAAAATAAACTGTGAAGATAAATAATGAGAAAATAAAATCAACCTACATCTGAGAACTGTTTTAAAAATCTAGTAATATATTGGATAGTGAATGTTACAGTTGAATAAAAGAAGATAAGACTAATACACTAAACTATAGACTAATAGGTAAAGAACTATGATTTTTAGTGGAATACTAAGTTCTGACTGTATGATAGACAAAGCTATGTGAGCTGTGCAAAATTCAACCACTTATCATTTTTAGATATTTGTATAAATAGTGTTATTGAAAGATATAGAAGAGTGCATGATTCCATCAATGCAAATATTTTTTTATTTAGATGCAAAAGTCATTGTGAACCCCCTGTTACCTAAGCTTGATGGCAGGCCTCCATCATCATGTGACTAGAGCAGACCCTGAAAGCACAAATTTATTCAAAGAACAAGTGGTTCACAATGCCCAGTGCACCTACTCCTTCACTGCCATCTTTCAATGTATACTCACTCCTCATGGGATGTTTCCTAAGGCCAGTTGAGTAGTCATGCATGATCTGCCAACACTAGCTGGAAATAGACTAACTACATCCTTATAGTCCCCTTCCTCTTGCTGAAGTTTATTGAGGAAGTAAAATCTTCCAAGTAAAGGGCACGGAGAGTTGTATCTGCTTACCCATTCACCTGGAAAGAGATTTTGCTTTTGTATTGAAGTTCCACTGATTCTTAGATAACGATCAGTGGTTTGGTCAAATGCCTAGGGACTTTGAAGAGAACACAGTTGGAACTGATGAAAAGAAAGTCTGGGGAAGAGGAGTGTGGTAGTCTTCTTAAAATGGCCAAATATTTGCGTTTCAAATTAATATTCAACATGAAATCTTGCAGAGAGGTTCTCAACAGTCTGGTGCACAAAATGACCTGCTCTGCAGGTGTTTGTCAGCCTAGGTAATAGCTACCTCACAGCTTGCTCCATGGGCTTATGAATAATGTGGCCATGGTGGGAAGGATGGGGGCTTAAAACCTAATTTTCTCCTCACCATAGTTGATCAAGCTACTGCTTTTTACTAATGCACAATCTATTAATAGCAAATACCAAAGCTGGTCCCTAGTAGGGCATCATACTCTGGCAGAAGGTGAATGATATTAGATATCTTCTGTCTGAAGGACTTATATTCATGGGAATAAACACTTGTTTAAGATATGCACTTGCCTTCCCTGCTTGCCAAACTTCTGACATCATTCACCGTCCTGGTAATCTCAATTAACATTGATTATGAACAAGGAATATAGTTTACAATAAAGGATCATGGAGCAAATGGAGATGGGGATATATAAAATTATAAAGTATCAGCTATGTTATCATGACTATTACATTTTCTTCTTTGGTTTGGTATACATAGATATACACACATAGACATACATGTGTGCATTTCCTTACTTACCTTTCCTTTCTCTTTTATCGGAGGTGCTCGTGATGTGATTTAGTTGATAATTCTGGCTTACAGGGTATTGAGACGGGATTGTATAACTGAAATAAACTGGATATCAGTAGAGATTTGAAAGGTTTTTAAAAAATGTTCAGCTTTACTTTTTTTTCTTAAGGAACAAGTTGTTCACTCACAGAGTTGAAAAGGATAAATGAAGTGTTCAGTTCACAGAAGCAAAATATGAGTAGTTCATATATCTTTTGTAAATGTTCTGTGTATCACTGTAAACTAGACATCTTCCATGTGCTCCTATGTTTTTCCATTTTGAAATCAATATCTAGTTCAAGCTTGTTAATAGACAACAAATATTTGCAAAGTTATAGTTTCACTGAATTGGGATGTAACCTGTAGCGCACAATGAAAATGCCATTAGCTTGAGTTTAAAATTTGTGTTGTTATTTTTTTCTTTTGTCGATATTTTCCTTCTGTGATACTTATTGCACAAAGGCCTGATATCACAGCTGAGGGAAACCGCAGAACAATGGTTCTTACAATCATTCAGACCCATTTAAGCCATAGTCTTTGTTGGTTTTGCCAGATAACTGAATGCTTGAGTCTATCAGGACTGTCAAATAGTGTTGAGTACATATTGGTGGCATAAGCAAGTTAATATTTACAGGGAGTACTTTTGCATGTCTTTTAGTCACATACTAATTTTGGAAAGTCTCTATGCTTTAATTTTGCCCTGAAAACAGATATTCTAGTTTAAAAAATGTTAACTTAGTGATTAGAAACCACTATATATATTATTACATATATTAAGTGTCTAATAATTGATGATAATTATGTTTATTAATTGTGAATAACAGGATGCATAAATAATAAACTTTAAGATCTCAAATACAATGGCTAATATTGCTGATTCCTTTTTGCCTTCTTTGACTTATTTGTTTTCATGTGTTCTCTTCCTCTACAGAAGTGTATTTTTTAGCTATGTGATATAGATTGCACATCAAATTAACAGACAAACATATCTTCCAACCTGTAGTTTAGGTAGGTTTTCTGATAACACTTCCATGTAGTGAATACTACAAAATTGTTACAAAGTTATTGTTATTTGATCATTACTTTTCTTTTTAAACTTTTATTTAATAATTTTATAAACTAGATTTTTAAAATAAAAGCAATGCATACTTACAAGAAAAATAAATTCTAACTGTATATGAAAGGTTGTATGCTAAAAGTGAAAAGTTTCCTTACCCAAATTTCTATCTCTCTCCCAAGAAGTAAGCACATTTATACTTTCTCATATATCCTCCCAAAGATTTATATGTATTTTAAAAACATATATAGGATTTCTGTTCCTGGAAATTGCAAGCTAGGTAGCTTGGACAAACCCTCCCACTTCAAACAACTACAGAAGCTGGACAAATTTTGAAAATTCTCTTTAAAGGCATTGGAAAGCTCCCAAGATGGTGAGAGATTGTGCAGCCAAGACCCTGGAGAAGAAAAATGCCATAGAATTGAACTTGACATTTGGAGACACTTCAATCCCTAGAGGTGCCATCAATTCTGTAAGTGTGCTTCAATAGATACATAGGCCAGAGGAGCACAAATTGTAGTCCAAATTGCACTCCAATTTGTGTTCCTCTGGACTATGTATCTATATGTGTTTCTTTTTCATGTTGGAGAAGAAAACCTGGTAACTCTCTGAAGCTTTGGATTGGGATTCAAAATGACTACATTGTAGGAATGACAATAAATTGAGAATCAATCAGCCCTTCCAGGGAGACGACCCAACTTTAAATTATCCTAATTCTTGATTGGATTGAGGTTATTTGTGGTTGCTAGTGACTCTACATAGCTGTCTGCCTGAAGCAAATAATTATTTCAGGACAAAGATTACAATCTCTAGAGCCTAATATTAGCACCATAATTTTTTATAAATAATCTTCAGCATTCAAAAAAGGGAGGCATACAAGGAGATATGATCATGTGAGTAGAAACCAGGGGAAAGGAACAGATAATAGAAACAAATTTAGATGGGATATAGATCACGTAGATACCAGAAACTAAATTTAAAATATCTATGTTTATGTTCAAGAAACTAAACAAGATTGGAAATTTGGCAGATTTAGAAACTGAAAAAGAAATTTTAGAAGTAAAAAATACAATAAATGAAATAAAGAACTAAATAAATAGATTTAACAGCAGATTAAATAAAAGCAAATAGAGAATTAGTGAACTGGAAGATAGATCAGAAGAAAATATTTAAATATTTACATTGAAAACAATGAAAAGTACAGAAAAGGACCAGAAGTGACAGTGAAATGTGTTGAAAATGTCTGACTCTAGAAGGATGATAAATACTTTCTGAAAAGATAATTGCTTTAAGCTTTCTCAAATTATATGACAATGTATGTGTATGTATATATACATACATATATATACATACATATATACATACATATATATACATACATACATATATATACATATATACATGTGTGTATGTATATATATACATACATATATATACATACACACATATGTGAATATATGCTACTTATATATGTATGTGTGTATATATATATACACATAATATGTGCACATATTGCAAAGTGTGTGTTTGTATTTACATACACACACTTTTTTAAAAAATATATACTTACTTTTTTTTTTTTTGAGATGGAGTCTTGCTCTGTGGCCAGGTTTGAGTGCTGTGGTGCGATCTCAGCTCACTGCAACCTCAGACTCCTTGGTTCAAGTGATTCTCCTGCCTCAGCCTCCTGAGTAGTTGGAATTACAGGCACGTGCCACCACACCCAGCTAATTTTTGTAGTTTTAGTAGAGTCGGGGTTTCACCATGTTGGCCAGGATGGTCTTGATCTCCTGACCCTGTGATCCACCTGCCTCAGGCTCCCAAAGTGCTGGGATTACAGGCGTGAGCCACCATGTCCAGTCAATATATACTTACTTTTAATATATATTATAGTTAATATATACTTTAAAAAATGTACTTTTTTTATGGCAATGCCTTTAGACTATACCCTCTGCTCTGCACCTTAAATTTATTTTACTTAACAATATGTATTGAACTTCTTTCAATATTAGCTGTAACATAGAGCTACCTAATTTATTTTTTATGAATTCCCAGTATTTGATTATCAGTTGGAATTGGTTCCTTGAATTTTAGGCATAGATGAGATAATAAATAGAACTTGTATAAATTCTACTTACAATCAATAAGACTATCAAATTCAGAACTCTGAAACATAGTCTTGCAAAGAGAGCCGTTTTCTCTTCTGCATGCAGAGAAATGCCAGGTTAAAGATGTGTACCAGAACACACAGGGAGCCCAAATGGTCTGTTTCAGTCTATTTCCACAGGTTATGTTAAAACATAATTTGCGCAGAGAAAGCTTAGGGTTTTATTTTTTTGTTTTATTTATTTTTATTTTATTTTTTATTTTAAATTTTTTTGTTGAGACGGAGTCTTGCGCTTTCGCCCAGGCTGGACTGCAGTGGCGCGATCTCTGCTCACCGCAAGCTCCGCCTCCCGGGTTCAAGCCATTCTCCTGCCCCAGCCTTCTGAGTAGCTGGGACTGCAGGAGCCCACCACTGCGCCCCTCTAATTTTTTGTATTTTTAGTAGAGACGGGGTTTCACCGTGTTAGCCAGGATGATCTCAATCTCTTGACCTCATGATCCGCCCGCCTTGGCCTCCCAAAGTGCTGGGATTGCAGGCGTGAGCTGCCTCACCAGGCCCGGATTTTATTTTGTAATGTGTGTGTGTGTTTGTTTTTTCCCTCTTTAGGTCTTTGCCTGCTTCTTCCTATCCACCTTATTTTCATTGAACATGAGGATTTTGGGATTTTGTAATAAAAGAAACTCAGCTGTCTTTCAAAAAACAATGCAGAAATGGGGGCCCAAATTGCCTCCATCTAAGATCACAGAGTGAGCCGTGGGTGAAGCCGGGACTGGAATCTAGGTGTTCTGCTCTTTTAATTGTCCTCACATGCATTTTCCTTTCCTTCATCACAACAGAAATACATTTTAATAATGTTTATACATCATTTGAATAAAGAGTCTAATTCATGCTGCTCTATTAGGAATATAGGGTGAATAGCATAATTCTATAGAGGGCTAAATTAATTGACAATTTAAAAAATAATGATAAGACTGTAAGTGTAGTGCTTACAGGACATACCTGTTTATGTACAGAAGCCAACATATCAATGATAATGCTGTCATTAAATTATATTAGATTAACTTTGCTATGCTATTTATTTTATGTCAGTAAATTTTACACATACTAAAAGATAACTCTAAAGTAGTGAGTCTAATTTTTAACTCACAAATGAGTATCTAACATCATTTTTAATTTTTGTTTTATCATTTGGTGTCATTTCTTTATGCTCTATAATTCATGCATCTACTTAGTGAGGAAATGTAGCATAAAAATTAGGAACTTGAGTTTTGGAATTCTACAGCCATAGTTCACATATTGAGTCACTACCCTTCCTAGTTGTAAAACCTTATGCAAATCTTATTACTTCCTTAAGATTCTTATGCTAAGGCAAAGATTTCTATCTTACCAATATTCATTTTATTTTTCATTCTTACAGAATCATAATTTTATTTGAAACAGCAAGACATAGGATAAAATAAATTTTCCAGCCTCCCTTGTAGTTAAGTGAGGCAATGTGACCAAGAAAGTGAATTCATCTAGAAGAAGTATCTTTTGCTCTACTGATTGGAGTATGGCCTTGATGACTGGAACTTTAGCAGCAATTATGAACCATGAGGAGACTGCATGTAGTAGCCCTTGGATTAGGATGATGGAATAGTATGATAGAAGGAGCTTGGTTCGTTATAATTTTGTGAAGCCACTTCACTAGCACAGAATTGTGTAGTACAAAATTCCTTTTATATGTAAGCATAAACATTTATATGGTTAAACCAATCTAGTATAGTTTTCTATTATTAACAGTCAAATTAATTACCAACTTGCACAGATGCTTTATTTCTAAGGTGTTGATGACAGCACATTGTAGGGCTGTGGTGAACATCAAATGTGAAGATGCATAAAGTACTTTACATGAGTTTTACAGCTAGAGGATCCCAGATTCTGACTGTAATTCACTCACTGATAACAAGATATTGTGAATAAGATACTTCATTTTAAAAAAACAACTGTATTAATATATTTTAAAAATTACTTTAAAATTGGTAAAATATACATACGTATATTTTTGAGGTAAAACACTTAGTTTCTTTAAACTCATTTTCCTCATCAATTAAATGAAAATTATGGCAGAGCTATATTGAGAATTAGGAATTTTAATTTTTGCTGCAGTATCTGGCAAATGGTAATTGCTCAATAAATGATTAGTGTTATTGCTCTTATTCTTGCAGTTAAGATGCTTTTTTCAAGGGAAAGAAAAACTCTACTCAAATTAGCTTAAAAATAGGAAAAGTATTATTCTTCACATCAAGAAGTTCAGAGATTTTGTGGGCACCAGCTATGTTATATGAGGATTCCAGGTCTGCTTCTCTGATATTCTCTGGACCCTGCCATTAGCTGTGTTATTCCTTTAACCTCAGGCTGGTTTCCCTCATGACTTCAGGAAAACCAACCTGTCAAAGACTGCTAGAAATGGGCAAAAACAGGCCTCTTTTTTCATGTTCAGAAAGAGGAAGAGAAAAATCTCCTGATCAGGAAATAGAAATCTTTTTTGTTAGTCTAACTGGGCCAAAATGACATGCCCAACCCTCACCCAGTAAGAGCTCCTAGGGTAATTCCATGTGTACTGATTGGCTTAGATTCATGAGGATCTAGCCTGGGATCTGGGAATAGGGTTGACTTTGCTTTGTTTTAGTTAGCAGGGGAAAAGGGAAAACAACTAAATTTGGGGTTTTAGGCAGAAAAAGAGGATTGGAAACCAGCAGTTACCATGCGGCAAGCACATAGTAGATGCTAAACAAATGATCACTTTTTTCTCTACCATTCATCAAATTCTGATTAGCTTTATTATTCATCAGAGTTTGCTTTTAATGGTCTTGTCATTTCTGAAATTACTCTTGGAACATATATATTTATCACCATTTTTGCTATTAAAAATCACGTGGTCTCTGAGGCAATCCATTCACTTGTTCATTCATTCATGTTTCAGCATTTAGCATATGATAAACAATGAATACACATAAAGCAATAGCTATAAAACTATGTCAAAATATATCATTTGAAGATGTGTATAGTTTCCTAATAAGATTACATCAGTGAGACTGCATTTCTGTGGATATGTAGAATACTTTCAACATCCTTCATATTATTTTATTGTCATTTCTCATAAATGGTTATTATCTCTAACTAAAACACTTTTAATTATTAATTTAACATTTTCAGAATAAATTTAATGTAGGAAAGAAAAAGTAGTATCACTTTAAATAGATTAGTGTTTTAAAATGAATCCTTATTTGTGTGGCAAAGGCATTTTATAAAATTCATATCTTACATTTTGCAGACAAGGACTCTGTGTAGGTCCTATGAAAAATGGAAAAAAAAAATC